AGGAGGAGAGTATTCTTAATGGTTACTGCTACCAAAGGAACAATTAATGCAGAGACTCTAAAAGAAGATTCAGAATATTAAGTCGTTTTCATGGCTAACGACACGAGTTTGTTCAACCCCTCGGATTTGTTAGGTGCGCTCATCGGACCGGAAGACGGTTTCCATACAGCCATTAACGTAGGCTCCTGCAAACCAAAGGAGGCGGCGCTCGGAGGCCTCGCTGCGCAGCGGCACAGTCGTTAAGGACACGCGTGCCACTGACTACCAAAACAATCCATGCGACGGAGGAGCTCTAGGAAGAGGGTTCCTCAGCCGTTCAGGTACGTCTGAGGAACGCAGCAGTCGGGTCCCCAGCTACGGGAGCGTTCAGCGCCCGACCAATGCATTTCCCATGAGTAGAAGTGAGAGAACAGTGACGACCCTGCTTCAACCTCTACAAGGAAAAAGAAAACCATTTCTAGGTGGAAGGAGAGAGTTTATTGCTGCTGAAGGTTGGGTCTTCTTCAGGGGTAAGATTCTCTCATCTACCTACAGCTGATGCTTTTTTTACGTGTTAATTTCTTTTATCCTCCACACACCCGGTACCACTGCTCATTATTCAAGTGATCCACTTTCTAAGACAATTTTTGGTTATTTATAGCCTTGGGAAGCTCTGCCTGCGGTCTGTGTTAGCTGTGCCAGATTCCCTGCTTCCAAGTAATTTCTTTTCCTTACGTTTCCATAATAGTTTTGAAGAGATGGCTAAATGAAAAATACCTTCCATGTTAATAATGCAGCTGGTCCTGCCTCTGAAGGACTTTAGCACTTCATGTCTATTAAAACCCTGCAGTTTTGCTGACCAGTATATTTTTTGCAATCGCCATGAAAATCCAAATTTTCTCTCATCGTAACCTTTTAAAAATATGCCGTTTGTGCAGGCTCAGGTCAAAAATATCCATTAATCTAGGGGCCTGGTCTGATACACTAGAATCCAGTGGTGTCCAGGGTGGGTCCCCAGGCTATAGCACATGTATATTCGGAACAGAGTTCCCACTGACTCAGCTCCCATCAAAAGTACTTGGCAGTCCTGTAAATCACGATCTTAAGTTAGAAGCGTGGAAAGGAAAGGGAAATGGGATGGCCACCTGCAAACAGCCACAGGGACTGCGACAGGAAGGACAACACCAGGGTACGCCTCCTGCCTGTGGAGGGGCATTCCAGAGCCTCCTCCCTTTCTTTTCCTGCAAGCTGGGAATTCCCCCTGTGCAACCACAGCAGCAAATGAAGAGGCAACAGCTTCTAAGAATTACTTTTGTCTAAAAACCCAGCAGTTAGCTCCAAATGTAATACGCTGCACTTGACAAATTATTTAGCATAATTATGACATTTTAAAACCTACAGTAACAACATCAATCAAACCAGCATTTCTTCTTGCAGAAAATAGGTAGGCTGGTTTGTTCATTTTTAAAGGAAAACGCAAGATGCACTAGAAGCAGAGGAAGTACCTATTTGTGTAGTTAGAATTATCATAACATGGACACAAAAAGTCAGGTGAAGCCTGCAAAGAAACACCGACCTCAGTATTTCAAAACTTTTAGCTCTCAGCTGGGATTCCAGCTTTTCAAACAATACCATTGCATTGTACTGCTAGAGAAAAAACAAACCCAATACATGTGTGCTCTGCTTGCAAAGCTGGTATCCGCTCCCAAGATAAACTGACACCATTTTTCTGCATTTCCGTACTGCTCCTGGGAATCAGAGGCAAACACAACGCAGCTGGAGCCAGGCAGGCTCACCGCTCCGTGCATG